AGGTCTTGCAGTTATTTCCCTCCCGACACTAGGAAGGATGATCTGGCCCTGAGTATAGGCAGTATAAAACTGTCCTGAGCAGATCTTCCTCTCTCCATTCTCAACCTCTCAGGCGAGAAGGGGCTACACCATCTATACCATAACTTCTTTCTTGGACTTTAGGAATCTGGCTGGCCTCCCCAGACCTGAAAATAGAAAATAACATAGACAAGAATTTCCTAGGCAGCCCTATAGGACAGTGGTTAAGCACTGTACACAAAAAGTAGATACTACATGGCCTACCATGGTTTGAATCCCAGCCCCATGGCTGGAGAAACACACCAAGTGTGTGTGCCTACGTGCCTCACATCCTGACAGGATGGAGAAAGGGAGAAGAGACTGTACCATGGCCACACCCCACTGAGAGGTGATTACTCTTTCTATCCCCTACCTCTTCTCTAGCTTGCACAGGAGCCCTCTGGCAATTAAATAAATAAACAGAAAAGACTGAAAAAACTACTTCAAACTTTGTTGCACTGGAATCACCTAGAAAGCTTTAAAATATACTGATACCTGCCTCCCTGATTCAAACATTTTTATTTGATTTGTATAGGCTATAACCTTAGAAACAAGATTTTTTTTTAAGGGAGGTTTTTGTTATAGGATGTGTGTACTTGCTGGAGAGAAAGAGACAGCCAGAAAGACAGAAAGCAAGAAATCACCCTCCAGGAGAGATGGCCACACCACTATCCCTTCTCCTCTATTTACCTCTCGGGTTTTGGGCATGCATACACACATGCCCAGAGTGAGTTTCAAGCCACTGGGTCCAGGCCTCAAACCACGGTCAGCCATATGGTCCCAGAAACAATATTTTTAAAACTTCAGGTTTTTATAAAATCTCCCTCTGGTGACTATTGCATCGAATCTGGTAATTAAACTTTAATATGCATCAGAATTAGCCAGAGGACTTATAAAAACACAGATTGCTAGGACCTACTCTTACTGTTTGTTTTTTTTTTCAGTAACTATGGCTTAATAATTTGCATTTATGGGGCTGGAAGGTGGTATGGTGGTTAAGGGGCTGGGCTCCCACATGGCTAACTGCAGTTTGAATCCAGGACCTGGTGGCTTGCTTTCTCACTTTCTCTCTCTCTCTCTCTCTCTGGTCAAATGAAATAACGATAATAAAATTAAATAATTTTTCCCAAAATTATTTAACTTTGTCCATTTATTTATTTATTTATTTATTTTAATTTGACAAGAGCG